TCAAAGTTTTAATTAAGACAATGTTTGGTGGGAGAATGGATTGGGATACTAAATTGTTTGCAACTTTGTAGGCTTATTGTATTGCGTATAAAGTTACTACCAATTCCACACCATTCCAATTGGTGTTTGGACAAGAGGCAATATTGCCAATTGAATTGAAAGTTCAAAGTTTGAGAATTGCATTGAATGAATGTCTTGGCGATAATGAATCCTTCTAGTATTGATCAGTAGAATTTCAAAAATTGAATGAAATTAGGGCTACAACTTTTTTGGCTATGGAAGCTACACAACATTGATGTAAGAGTTATTATGATAGTAAATCACATTCCAAATTATTTCTCTCCGATGATCTAGTACTTCTTTATGATAGGTAATTTAACAATTTTTTGAGGAAATTTCAAGTTAGTTGGCATAGAATGTATCATGTAGTAGAGGATTTTTCTAATAGTTTAATTCAATTGGAAGATTTTATAGAGACTCAATTTATCACACATATCAATAGAAATTCATTGCGACTTTATTATATGTAAATCTAAGACGGGTTTCAAAATTAGAAGGAAGAAGGCTTCCTTGTTAATGATAAATTGCCTATACTCATAGGTATATGATGGATATTAAAGACGTTTGGTGATTGGTTGTGGATCCTAATACCGATTAATCAGAAAAATCAGAAGTGAGATTATGGTTAATAAGATTAAAGATTCTTAATCCATACCGCGAATAAAAATTTAGGAGCGAGGCACTTAGTGGAAGTTTTCTTTAGTATTTCAAACATTGTTGTTTGGAATATTACTATTAGAGTGTAGGATTTATTTCAGTAAAGAAGAAAGTAGTATTAGTGTGAACAAGAAGTGAGAAGCAAGTATTCTACAATGTCAATGGAAAGACTGAAGAGAGCTATGGATAGAGAGAAAAATTGTCTAAATATGAGAGCTAAGAGCAATTTGAGGTCGTTGTCCCTAGTGGTTCTTACCAATATAGAACCAATAAAGTTAGAAATTTGTTGGTCTCCAAGAAGGCAAAGAGATTTTAGAAATGCACAGTTATATCAATTTTTGCAAGGATTAGATAATTTGTTGCCAATTGATGTAGAATTGGTAGAAGAATATATAGAAAATTATGACCTAGAGGATGGTTCAAGTATTGTCAAGGAAAACATTATTGGGATCAATGAGACTATCTTACAAAAGGTACTGCACCTCTCAATTAATGAGCTTGTTGTAGATGTTGAAGTGTCTAATGATTTCAAACTAGGAAGTTATTTTAAAAGTGGCATGTCGTCATTTGAAAAGAGTCAAGGTTGGCGAAAGATAAAAGCACTTACATCAGAGCTTATAGAGTGAATGTGTTTCATTCAAAAGTGGTTAGGCTTGAATTGATACACCACGTACATGTCCAAACGGCTATTATTTGCTATGATAGGAATACTTGAAGGTATAATATTTAATTGGGTAGCTTTTGTAGCAATTATAATCCATGCGAAGATGGGAGCGAAGCAAAAGAGGAGAAATTTTGCATCTTTGCTCTACTCCAATCATGTACATTCCATAATTGTATATATGTTGAATCAAACACCACCAGTAAGGGAGAAAAATATACCCTCTCTAGTGCTGCAACAAAGTGTTTGGAATTTAACAACACTGACAATTAGTCTAGTAGTTATTATACATGAAATAGGAGAATCAAGTAACTTGTTGGAATGGGAGGCTATACCAAAGATTATATAAGAGTGGGTTTCAATTCATTCGGTGATTGAAGTAGACGCTGAAGTTCCAATTTTGATGGACATAAACCAGCTAGCATTTCCATAGGGTAGAACACCAGAAAGAGTGAATCTCAAGGATGTTTTATTGGCTTAGATTTTTCAATTATAGCTCACGGTGAGTAAACTAGATGGTGAGGGAAATTTAAGGCTATAATTGGAGGCAAGCAAGAAAGAAATATTGGAGCAAAGCTGCCAAATTTAGGAATAGGATTGAATTAAAACACAAAGCTTGGAAAAAAGAAAAAGAACGCATCGAATGTATCATAGATGGCCAAAGACAATACCTAATCCAGGTTTGTAGTACATCAATGTTGGAATAGAAAAAGATGAAGTATCAGTTAGAAATAGAATGAGTAAAAATAGCATTACTAGAACAGAAAAAATAGATATTAGATGACCAATATAGAATTGAAACAAAAAAATTATGGACAAAAATTGAAACCTTGAAAGCCGTAGTGACAAAATTAGATGGTTATTTAGCCAATATTGGTCAATCATAGATGTCTACTCTATCCGTTTCAATAATTGATGAATTAAAGGAAAAGGTGAGGCAACAACAACACCATTTAGAAGCAAAAGATGTTAAGATTCTGCAGTTGGAGGCTCAAGTTCGTAAATTGAGAGTGTATAATGAGGACTTATCAGTCCAATTGAAGAAAGAATCAATGGAAGTATCGGTGGAGGATGAAGACTTATCATTAGAACTAAAATCAATCGAACCATCTATAGAGAATATTGGCATTGATCAATCCAGCGAGTGAGAGGGTTAGAAACTTTATAAGGATTTTATTGAAGAATTTTGTGTTTACCAATTTTATGTTTGCAAGAACGTTGCACAGTTAGGAGTGGGGCTATGTAGAATAGGTAGGATTTTTTTCTATTTTATAATACATAATATGTAGCATTAAGAAAAGCTAATAAATTGATGAATGGATAGTTTAGAAAGTAGGATGGATGATGTACTCAAAAAAAAGTAGTTATCATTTGGTTGCGTAGTGGTAGCATCTAGAGGAAAGCATAAGTAGTTTGAAGAAGAAGTAAATGAAGCCCAAAGTGAGATAATCATGAGCCGGAGTAAGTTTGGTGCTATCTCTTTGTTTTTTTATTTTCTTTGTAGAAGAGGAGTAATAGATAGAATTTGAATGATATAAAGTGAAATTTTGGAATGGGAAAAAAAATTGATTTATATGATATCAAATAAGAAATTAAATTATTGTATGTTGAATTATAAGTGGAGGATTGAAAAGTCAATAATAGAAGATGTTTGTAAAGTATGAATATGGCTGAAAGAATTATAATATATTGATTTTTTGAGAATTGAGCGTAATACAAGAAGAAGTTTGTAGAGTTTGGAATTGTGTAAAGTAGATTATTGGGAATGACAATTAGTTTTGGAAAATTCCAATGATTGGATTATGAAATATTTTATGCAATCTTTTATGATAGTACAGTATTACCTATTATTGTCATAAGTTAGGAGAAGAGGAGAAACAATGAATGCATAAGATAAAATTTTTGATTGTAATATTTTATTTGATAGAATGTGGAAGGCATTGTAGATTTCTTGATTGTTTTAGTTGATCATGAAACAGTTAATTATATGACCTTAATGTGAAAACTCATGCAGATAGTCTTTCCTTGTGTTCAAATCTTCTTATATAGGTTTATTACAATTAGATTAATCTAGAGTAAGTAAAATAATAATCACGGGAATTAATGAGCATTTTGATTTAGAGATCTTAGATGTCATACAATAGTTAAAAAAAACCTCCAAATAATCCTAAATATAATATACAAAAATAACTTTGATTTCTTTTGCTATGTAAAAATTGTACTATGAGAATGTATCTTTTGAATTGCTCCATTTCTTTTGCTACACACAAATTATACTATAAAAAAAAATTTACAAAAAATTTAAAAAAACTTGTAAAATTGAAATAATTCATTACATTATCTAAAAGAAGCAAAAAAGTCAAAAGGACTCACCTCCTTCATTGCTTCCAATTTCCAAATAATACAAACAATGCAAAAAAATCAACTTCCTAATCAATTATAAAATATAGGGATGAATTGTTAAATAGATTGTAAACTTCACAAAATATAAATCTTTTTGATAAAAATGAAGATCAACCATGCAGTAAAAGAAAGCCACCACTTGTTTTCTTGAGCAATTTTAATATATAGATTAACTAAATCTATGCCATTATGACAAAATCTCAAGAAATTGAAATTTGAGAGTAAGCCCCAATATCCAATATCAGCCTTCATTGTACTTTGAGTCCTATTCTACCAAGACAATCGACTTCTTTCTAAAGAACCACATAAACTTGAGCAAATTTGATCATTCAAAGCTTCTGCAAATCCTAAACTTGTTAGAGGCAAAGTGGATATTATCTATCTAAGAAAAAAAAATATAACTAAATCTATAAAATAAATATGCGTATATGTGTATGTAAAAGTGAATCGAATAATGTAAAAAAACATAGACAAAAAATATATATATATATATATATATGTGTGTGTGTGTGTGTATAAAAGAACTAGATAATGTAAAAAAAAATATATATATATATAAAAATAAATATAAATATATATATATATATATGCACGTACTTAAAAGTGAAAGAATTGGATAATGTGTGATAAGAAGAGGAAGTAGAGAAATAAGATAAGGCATGGAGATGGAACATTTCATGGGATTAGAAAAGTAGTTACGGATTGTACATGGAGCAATGAAGAGGAGGTAAGGATGTAGTTAGAGCATAGCATCTCCGGCAAATCAATACTCTTCGAATGCAGTAGACCTTCCATCTTTTTTTTAGCTATAGCTGTAGTTCTTCTATGAGAGCTATCTTAAGAAATACGAGGAAAATCCTAAGCAAATATAATTGGCTGCATGAATTGTATGTACTTTGGGCGCATCCAAAGAAATGAATCATGTTGTACTAAGGAAATAATGGGTCGAACTTGTTACGCTTGCAAATATATACTAATTAGCCAGCCTCTTTTCTTCTTTTAAAATCTTTATGCTTCACTGTATTCTCTTTATGTAGAGGCATTCTGGCTTTTAAGGTCATAGATCAATGATAAGGTGCTCAATGAAATTCAAGGTTTACTGGTCTGCCAGCCTTAAAATATTACCGAGTCTCAGAAGTTTGTGCTGGACTTCTAATCCTTGCCACATTCTTGTGATTGTTGCGAATGTTTGCTTTGCTTGTTGGAAGCAACACAAGTGATCTTGAAACGAATGGCTCAAGTTAGCTTTTCATTTGAAAATTTGTAAAGTGATTTTGAGCAATCTGGCTTCCCCATAACTGGGGTTGGACTCATGAAAGTCTAATAATGAACGAACGGAGGAGAAATTTAAATGAATCCAGAAAATGAAATAGCAATTTTGGTTTAGTCCAGTGCAAACTAAATCCATGCCATTATGACAAAGTTTCGGGGAAGATATTTTACACCTTCACAGAATTGTCAATGCTCCCCATGAGAGACTCTTCTTGTAATCTAGCAGTTGCACCAACGGTATCCTCCATACGTGAGTACCATTCTTGAATTTTAGTGGAAGCTAGCATATCTCTTCCAGTATCGAGAGACTTGATGGGCCTCAACACCCCGAATACTGCAAGATCGGCTAGATTTGGCTTGGAGCCCCCTGTTTCAATGCAATACAACATAGCGTTATTAGATGCGTTTAAAAGACGACAGCTATTCATAATTTACAACGAATTGCATGCAACTCTAGCTCGGTCACCATGGAAGCATGGAAGATACGGAACATTAACTTACTGGCATTATCATACGGTATAAACCACAAAAGAGACTTCAAACACGCTCATAATAATCCTTATAAAATTCCAAAATTTTCAGACTACTTACAAAACTACAATCATATATTGTATGATGTTACTAATAACCTTGACCCTCCAAATCACAAGCTAGAAAATAGGCATAGCTTTCAAAAGAACATTTCAATGGGAAAATGATTCCTCAAAGAAGTTAGTCGATTACCCATAAATTGTCGACCGTCCAAAGCCTTCACCCACTCCTCAACAGCATCATAGAGAGAAATACGCTCATCAACAATATTATGTCGCTTCTTTAAGCGCTTACCGATGATATACATGGCAGCAGCTCCGAAATACTTCCCAGTAGCCCTTTCCATCATGCTAAAGTTACCTGCGAAATGTCATCAGAGTAAGTACCATTTGAAAGCGTTCCCTAATATAAGAATAGTATCAAGGAGAAACACGGACGATGGTCGTAAAGATCCCTATTCGCCCAATGCTCACCACTAGTTGTCAGATAATCAAGAGCTTGCAAAGACTCCCTTGGTGTGCGATAGATGTTGGGTGATAAAAGGTGTACAAGATGCTCATCCACCCATCTGTGACATTTAGCACACCGTTCTGTAAAGAGAGAACGATGAGGTGAACAGTACATGACCAGGAGAAATGTTTTGCTATCCTATCATAAGGTCAAAGACAGCATCTCGAAAGTAAATACAAGTTAAGTACTCTAGCTACGCTACTTCTCTCTTTTAGGGCCAACAAACCTGCGCCATCTCTCTTCTTCATCGGATTCAGGCTTCAGTGCAGGGGCATTTGCATTTCCTCCCTCTATTCTTCGGGTAAGCTCTGTAATAATTGCTGCAAACAATCCAACCCAACGTTCTAAGTCACTGTGATTCACCAACACAGGAGCCTTCAGCATCATAAACTACTCATCTTTGTGACGGTTTACAACCCGGAATCTTCGTCATACATGAGTACTTGTACACACTTTTCAAAACTACGCTCCTGCGCCCAGGAAGCTACACGAATAGGTAAAAAGCAATTCCGAGGAGCTACTTACATCTCGGATGAATCTCAAATTCCTTCACAAATAGTAACAGATAATATTCACAATTTGGATAAGGTGTCAATGTTATGATCCTGCTCAGATTACCAGGGGAGGACAAAGGACTCTGCATTCAGTGTACCTGTAGAATCTTTGAGTGCTTCACCATCCACGACCAAAATAGGCACCTTCTGGTAATCAGACCACTTTATCTCTTTCTTGCCCATAGGATTCACTTCAACTACTCTGTAAGCTATATCATGATAATCAAGAAAAGCTGCAATTAACACAACCAAAACCACGTCAATAAAGAGGATAGACTCTGTGTTCTACTTTTCTGGCGGTTTCATCTTCGGAGGCACAACAGACAGCAACACTAAACCAAGGAATTCCTAGTTGATTCCTAAAAACCACTCGATCGCTTAAATAGTACTACAGGCACGAAGCTGCGCACAAATCGTCCTGAACGCACCACCTATTCGAACCCACGCAGTCACGCTAATCCAATCACTTCCAAAATCCCACAGAAAAACCTACCTTTCACTTTATTACAAAACGGACACGTCTCGTACTGATACAACACAACGTCCTTCGGCGCAAACCGATCAGCAACACGCTCCTTCCCATACGCCACACCAATCGTCGACGTCGCGAACGAGAGCGAGAAAGAACCCGCACCAATCCACCTCGCATTCCAGCTCCTTCCTCTCGCATCCTCCTCGCTCCATGTCCTCCGATCCAATCCAGACGAGTTCCCCTTCGCCACTCCTGCTGCCTGCATTCCAAACCTCCGCACATCGTCATGGCCCTCACTCGTCCAAACCACTCCCGCGCACCGCTGCACCGCCTGGGCGCCACTCCGCGCCCTCGCGCACCGATGCGCGACTGCCCTCACTGACATCATCGTTCCAGCTGCTTCAGTGCCAATTCTCCCCGAAATAACAACAATACTTCTCGCCCCAATAACAAAAATATGTTTCTCGCCGCAATGACAACAATGAATTTCTGTGCAGCGAGCGAGGCAATGGTGGAATCGTAGGCAATCAACCCCTAACATGCGCTCAGCTCTCTGCCGCACCAACAGCTCCCACTCTTCGTTAAGCTTCAAGGGACAAGGACGGCGTCCACAGGGAAGGCTTGCAACCGCAGTGCCAATCCAGGTCTCTTTATCAAGTCCCAAAATTTGATCCGACACCTGGTTTGGTGTTCGAGCTATTCGTGGAATCTAGGGGAACACGTCACTCTGTTCCAGACGGCGTGTCCGTATGGGGAACGCCCGTTCCCAATCATTCGGCTGTCGAATCACCGACCGAACTCCAGACCTAGCAGTTGCCTTGAACGTTCCGACTCTGGATGAAACTTGGCTCCTGAATGGATGAAGGATGTGGGTTTTGTTGTTAAAGTTCTATTGATATTATGTAATATATTGAGGCTGGTAATATATATATATATATATATATATGTGTGTGTGTAAGTATGCAAAGGTTTTAATAGAATTATTTAGTGTTGATTATAGACCACATACTCTTCCTCTTCGTACCAAAAAAACTATTTTAAAAATTATTTCCAAAATTAATAAATTTTCTATGTTTGTGCATCATGAATAGAAGTTTTAAAATTAATAGATGAATAAATACCGTGGTATCATTTTTGTTAAGATGGTGTAGGACTTAAATTAAAAACTTGGGCATGAATTGTATAAAAAATGATTGGTATTTTTTTTGTTGGTAATTGTCATTCAAAGAAAATATTTTCTTGCAATTTTAGCCAATTACTTGTAAATAAGAAGAAATCTTTGTAGCCAGTGATTTGAATCATGTGCCTATGGCTTAAACAAGAATAGATAATGAATTGAAAGAATGAAGAATACAAATGTATACACTTCCACAGTGCTGTTGTCCCACCATGTACCTGATGTGCCAAGTGCTCTATCTTGCTTCTCAATTTAATACTTTTCCAACTATTCTAAAAGAAAAATTTTAACAAAAGATTAAAATACATATATTCAAACCATGGTCATTACAGCATGTGAAATTCATTCACACTTCACATGAATTTTAATTGTTTATTTTTTTTTTTCCCTCTACACCTCCAATGTTATCCAACAACATGACCTAAACTGCCAGAAACTGATTGTTTCCAAAACAAACCATCCCTGTAAGTATTAAATAAGAAAAGTTATTACAATGATTCTGGGAATGACCACAGGATTACATATTATTTACAACTCCACTTTAAATGACTTAGTTTATGATCACTTACAAGGAAAAACATAAACCAAGTGCACATTATTCATAGAATTGATCAACATATGTAGAAATTAATTTATGTGGTATTAGTACTTGGACATGACCTATACTTCACAATCTATGGTCTCGTATTCCCATATTATTCTGATAACATATGCTTTAAAAAATATCCTCACAAAAGATTCTTCATATTGTAAGTGATTTCTTTGGCAGATACTCCTCAAAATCATGAATAAACATGCAAGTTGAACATACACATTTTCAGTCATTGTCATGGCAGATTTAATGTGAGCATCCAGAATTATGGAGGTTATCAAGTAAAATTACTTTCAAATATACTGTACAGAGGAGCTTCTTGCGCTCAAACAATCTACAAAGTTGAAATGGGTATTCAACTAAACCTAATTAATCGCTCAAACCTCAAATATCCAGCCATCATTCTTCAATACTATCATCTGCAGATGTGTTGCACCAATGCCTCAGGAAGGGCTCCAGTAGCCTGTGAAAACAAAACCAAATACATTGTCTAGTAGTCCATACATGAGAATTACATCAAGCACTTCCAGAAGCATCACATTTTAACAACTTACAACCTTGTGAGCACAAAGATAGAAAAATTTGAAATACCTGGAAATGGCGCATGTGAAGGATAGGCTCACATCCAAGGTCACCAAGAGTCTGCCCATCTATCAAAGTTGTATATGTGCGTGCATGGTGAGCTGTGAGGAGAAGTTCCCCTGGAGTCTCAATCAGTTGGCAAACTTGTAGCAAAGAATCCAAAGAGTTCATCTGCACATATTGAAATATATGTATATATTAGAAACATTTTCAGACTGCTCAACTATCCATGAACAATGGCAGTTCCAGAAAGACTGCAAGAACTTAGATTGAGAAAACCAGCATGCATCCCACAAAAAGTAAAACTAAAATTTCTAGGACATTGAGGTAGAGTCCTGTCTGTGTTAATCCTAAAGCTCTACTGTAAGCAAGAATATAGCCACTGACTAGGGGTAAAAAGTTTATACCGACCTTCATGTAATGACATGATGCACAGCCACCACTTATTGAACAGCCCTCTCCAGAACCCACTCCTGGAACAACTGACAGCTTCGCCAGGGTTGAGTCGTAGGCGCCGTTAGTATTTGAAGATGATGTTTCACTTATAGCCTCTGATGACACTGGAAATACAATCTCCACCTCCACTTTGCTGCCTCCATGAAGTTCCTGATGGTCTGCTAACAACTTACGAACTGCTCCCACAATTGATGTCACCATCCCTGATTCTGTTCCCAATACAAATTGAAGCCTGTCCTCGAAACCTCGCTGCAGAGCCTGCGAGACTTGTTCCTTGATGAAGTCCAAGATGTTTGACGTTGATCCTACTACTCCCATACCCCTTTGCTTTGCTTCCATGGCAAGTGCAAACATCTCCCCGGGAACCTCAAAATGAGCTGTATGGAAAGCATCTCCATAACCTTGTCGCACTCGGCCGACTACCTCTTTTCCAAACATATCATGCACTATACATGTCCCCTCCTGCGTATGCAATCAAATGGGCAAAAAACTTTAGCAAATGGTATGTGTCTAGCAAATCAATGTTGACTATAAAAACATGCATTCATCAAAATTGACCTCTTAGTATGATACAGTTAGGGCGCAGCTTCAGCTTGAAGATATCAATTGAAATGTCTAAAACTCACTTGTCCAATCAACACACCGGTTGCACCAACCTACTCTTAAAGGTAACCCCTTAAAAAGCATGAGAAGGAATACCTTGAAATACTTCAGGCGAGGCAGAAGTGCTGCAATAGTTCCTCTTGTGTGTGATGGATGAATGGCAGCTATTTCCTCATCACTGAGGGCAAGCATTTGTTGAAACATTTCAACCAGGTTTCCTCCCATGTACGAATCTGGGCCGTACCAAACTGTCAAATCTGGCACCTGAGCGAAACCCTGTCATAACAAACATAACAATCCGGTAAGTTCGTTGATCGTTCTGAACTAACTCAATACCAACTCTCCGAGAATACCATTATCAACTTTTACACAGTACTAATGTGACAACATGAGATGAAGAGCACAGCCTGCCGAGAAAAAGAGAAAGTAGGAACTATTACACAGATGCCTGTGAGTAATGTGTCACCGAACCTGCAAAACTGTTTGCACGACATTGGAGGATGTGCAGGTTATGGTTGGCACTCGTGAGTGAGCCTGAGCTTTCGTTTCAAGAGACGTGTTTATGTAGATAACATGCATCGACTTTGGCGTTTTAGATGCTTCTTCCAAAAACTTGATATACGAATCGCTCTCGGCTGCCTCCGCCAATGAACACCCAATGTGGTCTGCAGACATACGGTACACACTAACCTGGACAATGCAACACCGCCATTAACAATTCAACGGAGGAAACTCCTCTTGTGAAGTTTTAAAAAACCATTCGATGTCGAATACAAAAAGTAAAGAAAAGAAAAAATGCATGACACTAATCATACTGTATTCGAGCACTTCGCAGGGGATCGATAAATACCTCTTCATGCCCAGCACGGTCAAGGATTGCACGAACATTCTCGGACATGAAATCTACACCCAACACTGCCACGTGCTTGCACCCTTCATTCGCCATTTGGACTGCACGGTCTGCCATCACTAATGAATCTGATATGAATATGTGTGGCCATAGCTTTTGAGCTGCCACCAGAACTCCTTGCACTTCCGGATCCATGTAAAAATGGGCAACAACTCCAATCTTCTTCTCCTCTAATAATCTTGCTAGCTCTTCAACTTTGGCTTTGTCAGGTGAAAGGTATCTCGCCTGCAAAAAGCACTGGTACGCATAAACAACCGACGCAACACCAAAATTAACCAGTCTCTACTCAGCATGAGAAGCATCTGCTGCCGAACATTCGCTTGTTCTGTGGAAGACGAGTGGCCCTGATGGCATTGATTGTTTCTACACGGGCCCAGTATTATAACAAAGTGCGGAACGCTTTAATTTGAAGGTTTCTAGATAAAAACGCGTCATACCTGCGCTTTTGCAAAATCTCCTCGTGCAACAATATCATCAGCTGTGATAAGAAGGGAAGGAAATGGCTCAACAATCGACAGACCAGCTTTCTTCGCAATCAACATACTCGTGCGTTTCTGCAGCGTAAGAAGTACGTTGGACCAGGTATTGGCACGCGATTGAGTTTCCACCCCAACCCTCAAACCTTTCAGGACACTAGCTGGCACAGTAAGCAACTCTTGAGCTGTTGCCCCATTGAGTCCATCCAGCAATATTGAACAAAGTCCACGAGTAACCTCCGAATCGCTGTCCACTTCGAAGTGAACCCTCCCGTCGTTCGACAGTTCCACTGTAAGCCACACCTGTATTCAAGAAGAAAACCATCTTTACTTGAAAAACTCGTACATAGTTTTAGTGGTTGGCTGCAAACTTTCTACGCAACCTTCGGGTGATAGGCAAACGACTTAATCGCTGGCAGATCTAAATATTGATATATAAGGATCACAGTGGATAGATCGCTAGTCATTAGAAAGACACTTCTAGACAGGTGAACATAGCTTGACAGTTAAACTAAACTTCAAGTTCTAAGTATGATGATTGAGGACGGCATCGTAATGAAATCAAAGAACAATCTTGAGACAGGCTACAAAATTCAAGCACTAGTACTAGAAGGGAGGGACTGCCGTGCAATGTCCTTCGAAAAACTAAGCCTAGTTTAAACCGCTACAATGTATACCACAGAAAGAAAAATGTATCAACCTGTGACGTGCAACCCATCACTCGATTCTCAGAAACTTTTGCATTTGTAGGCAACCGAGGCATCATCTTGGCGCGATCCAAAACACGTTGGATTCGAACACGGCCCTCCCCAGAACTTGAGACATTCTCCACAAGCTGCTGTAATTTCCTCAAAGCACTCCGGTCCTTGCTGACTTGTGTCAACAATTCTGGTTCCACAAGTGCACTTCTAACCGTAACCTGAAAGTCACGGAAAATAAACAAGTAAATAAAGTCATTCAGTCACTTACATCACATGCCATACTCGTTTCGCGAAATACAATGACGATTGGGACTGTAAACAATACACTTCTGACATATTCCAAATTGATATATTCTTTTCAATTAGTAGTTAAGAGTATCAAAAACACGCACAGACAGGTAGAAACGGAGATTGAGGCTGACAACCACAAGAGACATGACATGAAAAGAGCACTTTGCCAGTGTTAGATTATCATCCTAGCCTGGACCAAAGACCGTAAATGAGGGTACTGAGCTCATCGAAGCCACCGTTTTACATTCGATGGGCGGAAAACTACGCTTCTGCGAATAATGACGTCACGGCAAAAGATCGGGTGTTGGTTGGGTTGGATAGGAGACTTCTAATCACAGAAGAGTTTGCAATCTCCTGCTTATCACTCTACTTGAATTGCGAATAGCGGCGGACGCCATAGACAAAAACCGATACGCGATACGATGCACAAAATGGCAGGAAACACATTCCGCGATATCCAGCCTCAGCAAATATCCGCAATGAACAGACTTTCCACACACAAAAACTTACATAGCCTCAGTAATCACAGAAACACGAGGTCGCGAACTCAAAAGCAAAGCTGTGAACCGAGATCTTTACCCATGCACGCAGAGTACTCCATGGAAGATCACGATCATTATTCTCTTGAACTTACCAAGCCTTTAAATTGAGTCCGATTGGAAAACTTGGCGCGCCTCCTCAAAAAGTTCCTGCATCCAACCTCACGTATCTGAAGGCTTCTCGGAGCCAAAGAGATGCCAGTCTTCGTTGCTGCCCCAGAGTGCACATTCGTCAGCGCCGAGAAGGTCACCAATTCCCCCACCACAGGCGTTGAGGCGCCCAGCATGGCCATGGTGAGCAAACGACCTTGCCAAACCAGGTACAGCCCCTTCTCAACTGTCAAGCAGCTACACCGCCAACAAACTACCACCCACACACCTGCAATTACTTCCGCAACTCACCACACAAACACAGGCCCAGAAACCTTAACAGCCTCGAGACGATCAATCTACGCTTCGACTTTAGGAGTGGGGCGGGCGGGCGGCTCCTGTGTGTCAAACATTACGGCCCACAAGCATCAGTAGATCATGAACTACCAACTACAGTGGACGAGCATCACTGGCTTCTTCTCCCTTTCCGGAAGGGCGATGTCCTTTTCGTTGAGTATCGGTAACTGAATCTAGAGCCAAACATGGACGGGGTCGGAATCCCCGTGGTGACGAATCTGGTGCGCACATCGGACGACGACCATCGCAACGTCACACCCAACTACCAAGCCGTCACTCATGTGCCACACATTTTCGGTTTTGTTTTTCCTTTTCATTTCTTTCTCCGTGCTAAGGCGAATCCAAGCAGCTTGGGTGACGTCTTGTTGCCCCACAACCCGCCTCCGCCTTGGGGCCCCTGGGTTCGCTCTGTGCGCCGTTGGTCGGCGATCATCGACGATGGTGGTGCACAAATTCACGTGCAATCTCGCGTCACGCCCTCCTCCCCCCTCGGAGACGCCGATACGTGATCCAAGCTTGCACTTTGGGTGAATTGTGTAGTGGATGGAAACCAATGGCGTGCATGAAGACAAAAAAAAAAAAAAAAAAAAAAAAAAGTGCCTCTCTCTTGCATTTGTGGATTTCGGTTCATGTGGAGGTCAACTTTGACTAACATATTGTTTCGGTATCCGGGTTTCGGTTCTGTTCCATTGGCTTACAGACCTGGGCAGCATCAGTTTTTATTATTGAATTCTGTTCTCTTAGTAGTTTTTAAATCATAGATAATGCAATAAATTAAGGATAAAACCCCCATTGTAAAAGAAATACGCCTAATCCCGATTATCCTCGTATTTCCACATTCTGTTTCCTCTTCCTCCTACCCGCGGAAGAAAGCAGAGTGCATATCTTTCATGAAGCTCTAGTCACAACAGGACGAATAAAAAGACCATGACGAGGAAAAAGATTAAAAAAAAGATTAGAAAATAAAAACAAAATCACCCACACACACCCCCCTCCCTTCATGTGGATTCTAAACTCTACTTGGAATCTAAACCCTTAAGTGTTGTTTCTACTTCTCTTCAGATGGATGACATTCATCCATGTGACGTGATTTCTCCTCTTTTTCATTCATCTTCCTTTCTGTGCATCCATGTGGACAAATTCAGGCCTTGTGTTATTTGTGGACACGTGTCTCTAGTTGAGGATTGCACTGCTGCATGGGCAACACGTGTCCGAAGCCCTCTATTTTTTGTGGTGTTGGTGCTTTGTTTGCATCATTCATCCAAATTCCTACTTTTTTCATTTAAAAAAATATATATAATAATTTTTAAAAAAAAACATCATCTTTTCATTAATAAAATAGACCTTGGAAAAACTTAAAATTAGGTGCAAATTTGTTCATTATATATGTGCTTTTCCGATGATTGATTTTTATTTTCGTATTGTCAACACTAATTGCGTCGCATTCTTGACTATTGTTGTTGTTGTTCTTTTTTCGTTTTTGTTCCTCATAGATCTATCTTTCACGGTATTTTCAATTGAAAATTTCAGTTATTAAAGTTTTGAGAATGTGTGTTAAGTTATCTATAATTTAAAGTAAGGGATTGGACGAATAGATTCATTTCGTGTTCAATTGTGATGATTGTTTTGTAAGCACCATTAAAGTTGAAAATTAAAAGAAAAGAATAGAAGAAAACACTAAAAAATGATGAGAAATATAAATTTGAGTTTATGAATTCAAGTACCAAATACAACTACATATTTTTGCATTTCGTAGCAACCCTGTTTTTGTTCGTTTTACCACATTTATCACAAGAAAAAGGATGTTCAGGGAGTTCTATATGGACGTGCAGATGCCTGGGTTGGATATGACCACCTCCAGCGTGAGAAACATTGAGTGATTCCTGATGCCCGACTTGTCACAAGTGCGCTTGAATTTGGCCTTGATGGCTTTCCTCATCGCTACAGTTGGCGATGTTGAAGAAGTAGGAATATTCACTCTACAGAAACTATGCGGGAGGCAACGCAACCTCGCTCCTCAGCTCGAGGCTAACCCCTTCGAAGCACACTCGTCGTACCTGTCATTTCTTCTTAAATGAGCTTCACAAAGTTCTCTACGTACCCAATCCATGCTGCTGCATAACACGCAGACTCCATTATATCTTGAGGTGATTCCGCAAATTTTCCGGGTGGATCACGATAAAGTTCCTACAAGCTCCTACCAAAAGGTATCCAAAATCGTTGCTGCACCAACCGAGTTCGGTCTGCGGTGAAGTGTGCTCCAAGCTGTGGTCGATGTCCAACTGCCTGCGTGGCTCGATTGTTGGATGATGTTGTGATTCCCACTGTCTAGAACACCATGGTTCTTACAAAGGATTGCACATGCACACATCATGCTCCTGCCATTGCAACATCCTCTTGCAGGATGACCTCATTGACTGATGTTTCCTTTCGTCTCCATCTCCTCCCCATTGAATTAAATGAACCACGCCCATCGCTGGTTCTCTTCCCTCTGAGTCTAGCAACGTGCCTCCGGCGACCTTCGCTAGAAACATATCACTCAGCGAATCTCTAAAGGATTGACTTCTTTCATTTTTGTTTGGAGCTGCATAGGCATGCAAGAAGATTGGGTTGGGGAAACTTTTCTACACAATACATGTGAATTGAAAATAAAATGAAAACATGACGAAGATTCTTTGAAAAATTAACTTTCACCTTTTTTTTGGGAGGAAGTTGCATATTCTAGTTATCTTGCTTATGTGATGTTCACCTTTTTTGTAAAGTTTTGTAATTTTTGAAAAAAAATGATATGTTATTGGATCTGTTTCCATATTTTGTGTGCTTTGACCATAATGAACCAATTCAACGTAGTATTTGTACAACGATGGATGCTTTTTGGACAGTATTGCATAATTGTTATTAAGCTACGTAGTTGTGATTTTTTTCAAAATATTTACATTTGGGATTTCTTCGTTGCTTTAATTATACATATTCTGATAAAGAAAAATCCTCAAAAAAATCAAACATTTCAGCTATGGTTGGTAACTACTAATGTTCAAAAAACAATAATTAAAATTCATTTCAAAAAATTAACAATTATTAATGTGTTGAGAATTATAACTGAAGTAAAAGTATTTTTTGCATAAAACATATATATATATATTCATATACATTTCCAGTAATAATATTACCATCTTACAATGTATCAACAAGATCTATAATACTTATAACTGTATTGTTTAATAATACTTTTGACATTGTTTTGGTCACTTGAACCAATATTATCTTGTCATAATCCTAAAATAAAGGACCATTGCAAATAAGTCGAACAGTATTTAGAGAACTAAAAGAATACATAAAAATATGATTATTAAATGTTGATTTCCAATAAACTCTTAAAACCCTTGTAAAATAATTATAAGTTTTGATTAAAATCTATAACTATGCTCTAATACATAATCATCAAAATCATATTAAAAATATTAAATAATTTTTAATAGTATGTATTATTTTTTTAACAACTTGGTCATAATGATAATTATATTTTCACATAATCAGAGGTTTTTTATTAATGAATAGATCACACATATAGATAATAGTATGCATGTATGTATAAACATATATTCTTAAACATCTTAAATTTATTTTTTAAATAAATAAAGTCTATGAATATATATATATATATTACTACATTATTATTTGATAAATTAAAGTCCACTTTATGTTTTTAAAGGCTTAATAGACCATCTCAACGCAAAATTTTCAGCAATTTATACATTTCAATTATATTTTTATTTTTATTTATTAAACATCTTATATTTAGTTGTCTTTAATTTTTTATTATTAGTTATATTATATTATTTATTCCAAAAATATACCTAATTAACACCATAATATATAAATAAATATATATTTGGCAATCCATATTTAAAAGATTTAAAAAAATATTAAATTTATAGATAATTATTCAAAAGATATAATTTTTTTATAATTTTTATAATTTTATTAAAATTCTAAATTTATATTATTATCACTTTTTATTTATTAAAAATTATTATAATTATTATTTAGTAATTATAATTGAAAGAAAATAATAATAACACACAAAAATAAATATTTTTTTATTTATTGATTTTTTTAAAGATCTGATAAAAATTATTTTATGCATTTATAAAAATAATAAGTATCAAAAACTTTAGTGAAATAAACTTCTAAGTATTGTGGCAAGTGCATTGGCTGTACTTTTGTATTTTACATTAGAATTTTTAGTGTGGCAGTAGTCAAGTTTTACAATCAAGTGCTCAACTTCTAGTTAAAAAGAATATATCATTGATTAGTTTTGTTATTTTTATTTTATCGTGTAAATTTTATTTGAGATTTAAAACCAAAAGTATCTATAACATACAAGGATGGTGTTATGCGTGGAATGCATTAAGAGTACAAAAAATTCAAATTAAATCACAAATGACTACCATCTCAATCTTTAGATACAAAAATATATATATATATATATATATATATATATATATATTTAATCAAATTGTTACTTGATAGTTTTCTTCCATTTGATTTTTTTTTTTGCAATTTTATAGATTTGTTATTAAAGATCAATCTAAAGGAATTTGTAATTAACCAAGTGCGACAAACATACATATTTATTCTAATAATTAATTAAATCATATGAATAGATAGAAATAAGTAAAAATAGATAAATTTAATAATATCTTGTAAAAAAAATCTTCTTTGAAGTTTCATAGATGTGGATTTGCTATTATACATGTTTGTAGGTGATTGGTAGGTTGAAAAATTGGCCAACAAGTAGGTCACATTTTGCACATATTGGCCACTTGTGGTTCAAGTTGGATATGTGGCACACATATAGGAAATTTGCCTTGAAAATTAAACACATGTCTTGCAAGTTGGACTTGTGTTGGAGGTCCTATAGAATGTCCTTATATATCTCCTAATTAGATAGTATATGTAGATGTAAGAATAAGCCTTTCCTTATTCTTATCAACTCTTTTTTTTCTTCTAATTTAGTTTTAAAAGTCTTTGGTTTCCTGATCTTTAGCAATTCCAATTTTTTAAACAGATATTTTAATTATATTTAATTATTTATTTATCATCTTTCTTTGAAAAATATCTCACTTTATCATTTTTAGT